GAACTGAACTAGAACTGAACTAGAACTGAACTAGAACTGAACTAGAACTGAACTAGAACTGAACTAGAACTGAACTAGAACTGAACTAGAACTGAACTAGAACTGAACTAGAACTGAACTAGAACTGAACTAGAACTGAACTAGAACTGAACTAGAACTGAACTAGAACTGAACTAGAACTGAACTAGAACTGAACTAGAACTGAACTAGAACTGAACTAGAACTGAACTAGAACTGAACTAGAACTGAACTAGAACTGAACTAGAACTGAACTAGAACTGAACTAGAACTGAACTAGAACTGAACTAGAACTGAACTAGAACTGAACTAGAACTGAACTAGAACTGAACTAGAACTGAACTAGAACTGACTAGAACTGAACTAGAACTGAACTAGAACTGAACTAGAACTAGAAACTGAACTAGAACTGAACTAGAACTGAACTAGAACTGAACTAGAACTGAACTAGAACTGAACTAGAACTGAACTAGAACTTGAACTAGACTGAACTAGAAACTGAACTAGAAATGAACTAGAACTGAACTAGAACTGAACTAGAACTGAACTAGAACTGAAACTAGAACTGAACTAGAACTGAACTAGAACTGAACTAGAAACTGAACTAGAACTGAACTAGAACTGAACTAAACTGAACTAGAACTGAACTAGAACTGAACTACTAGAACTGAACTAGAACTGAACTAGAAACTGAACTAGAACTGAACTAGAACTGAACTAGAACTGAACTAGAACTGAACTAGAACTGAACTAGAACTGACTAGAACTGAACTAGAACTGAACTAGAACTGAACTAGAACTGAACTAGAACTGAACTAGAACTGAACTAGAACTGAACTAGAACTGAAATAGAACTAGAACTGAACTAGAACTGAACTAGAACTGAACTAGAACTGAACTAGAACTGAACTAGAACTGAACTAGAACTGAACTAGAACTGAACTAGAACTGAACTAGAACTGAACTAGAACTGAACTAGAACTGAACTAGAACTGAACTAGAACTGAACTAGAACTGAACTAGAACTGAACTAGAACTGAACTAGAACTGAACTAGAACTGAACTAGAACTGAACTAGAACTGAACTAGAACTGAACTAGAACTGAACTAGAACTGACTAGAACTGAACTAGAACTGAACTAGAACTGAACTAGAACTGAACTAGACTGAACTAGAACTGAACTAGAACTGAACTAGAACTGAACTAGAACTGACTAAACTGAACTAGAACTGAACTAGAACTGAACTAGAACTGACTAGAACTGAACTAGAACTGAACTAGAACTGAACTAGAACTGAACTAGAACTGAACTAGAACTGAACTAGAACTGAACTAGAACTGAACTAGAACTACTGAACTAGAACTGAACTAGAACTGAACTAGAACTGAACTAGAACGCTTGAACTGAACTAGAACTGCCGCCGTCTGTCCGTCAGACATTTTAATCAAGGTTTTGCAAATAATGCAAAATTGTACTTTACATATTTTACATTCAAAATGTAATTTTACATACTTTTCGTATAAATAATTTTTTAATTCAATGAAGCAAATGTTTTAAATCGGTCAATGATTTCATTTAGATAGATATTTCTCTTAAATAATTAGTGATAAATTACAAATTAAGAACGCATTCCTTTCCATAACTGCTTTTTATAAAAAATTGAATGTATAAGTAAATATCAGTTTATGTGTATGTATGAGTGTGCTTTGAATGTAATGTAAAGTTGCGCGGCATTTTATGGTTTAACTTTGTAAAACGAAGTGTCAATTTCATTTAGCGCCCGTTTGAAAAATATTTTTTTTTCTCTTCAACACATGAGTTTTTTATTTGTGCAGTTGTCAGTTTTCTAGCTGCTTAAAGAAATAAAATTAATATGGTTTTAAAAGCTGTAAAGCTAAATCAAAAGCTAAAAAATTCATTTAAGGTTTCTAACATTCTGGCGTCATCTGGCGTTAGCTAATTGCAAAAATTACCTCAGTGGGCGTGTATGACGTGCTTTTTGGATTTTCTGAACAAACATGATTTCAATGAAATTTGAAAAAAATATATAAAAGAAGCAGGACAACCACCACCGCCAACAAACAATTCAATCAAGTACAAAAGTTGAAGTTTAAACTCAAAACTCTAACAAACTTTCAATTTTTATGAAATTTTTTTGTTTTGCTTGATCAAACAAAATGTCTACAAAGTATTGTTATTGTTTTTCTTTTTTTCTTTTCGTGTATCTCAATTTTCTTATAAGATTTTTGTTAGAGATAATCTTATATGATTTTTTAGTTTTTTTTTTTCTATAGAAATATTGTGTGGGTTGGCTACTGTTTTGTTCTACATTTTTATTATTGTTTAAGAGTTTTTTTTGCTGTTATTTTTGGTTTTGCATTCTTGTTACCATAAATCATAAGTTGCTAACCTTAGTTTTAGCTCATATTTCAAAGTTAATTTTAACATCAATCTTAATGGCATGATGTATAGATCAAATATGTATTTTTTCCATTATTTCTTATTAGTTTAATGTTAAGTGTGCTGTTTACTTATTGATGTTTTGTCTCTATTTTTTTATTATTTATTAAATTTTTTATTATATTTATTGTCTTGTTTACAGCTTGCTAAATTTTTATGGGTAAATTATGCAAAAAAACGAAAGATTTAAGACACATACTTTAGTTTGAACACGTAATGTTAACAGTGTGTAAAATTGAGAGTGAACTCATTTTCATACTCATGTTTAAAACAAAATATAATAGTTAATAAATCAAAACAACATTTAATACTTTCAAAATTTAATTAAATTTGTTTTTAAAAGTAATTTTTATTTTTAAGCCATCACTATGTTAAATGATTGATTTTGATGATATTTAAAAAAATAACTTTAACTGCAAAAGGTTAAAAACTTTATAATTTTTATGGGATTTAATAAAAAAAAAAGACTTCAGCAAAAATATTTCAATAAAAGAAAAATGAATTAAATGCGAAAGTGTTTATATTTTGGCAATTCATCATAAAAAGTGAAGTTTGTCTGTCACTGCTCAGGGTAATGCCAGTTTAAAACTAAAAATCAAAACTCTAGATTCTTTTCCATTTGTTATTGAAAATGATTGAAGATTTTTTTTTTGACTGAACCTGATTTTGAATTGGTTAAAACTGCCTTATTCCAGAAATCCTTTAACAATTTCAAAATATTATTTCGAAATGTAGAAAAGTTTTTTTTTGTTGCTAAATTTAGTTTCAATATTCTCACTTTGCAACATAACACATTATATCAGAAAATCCTTCAATTACACTACATACCTATACCTACAAAAGTTAAACAAACGAAAGACTTAAGACACAAACATGCTGACGATTGAATAACAATTAACCGATCACCGAGTTATTAATTGTATTAATTGCACTCTTTAAGCAAAAATTATAGAATAACCAACAAGATTTTAGATGAACTGACATTTGCCGTAATTAAAAGCGACTAATTGTAAGAATTTTATTTAACAAAATTATCTGAAAGCTATTTTTCAATGCGGTACGTCAATATCAATGTTATGGTTGACATATTTGAAGTAATTGTAATCAAATAATTAATTTCTCACGGGTCTATAATGAATGCTTAACGAGGGGTATACATAATAAATGTCTGTCAAATCAAGTGTCAATTTGTCGTGGAAGGGCAGTCAGAAGCGATTTTGCTGAACATGTGAAAATTATTCAATGTTTAATTGATTGATTGAAGGTTTGAATCTAGTAAATTTTAGATTTTTTACTAAAACTGAACTAGAACTGAACTAGAACTGAACTAGAACTGAACTAGAACTGAACTAGAACTGAACTAGAACTGAACTAGAACTGAACTAGAACTGAACTAGAACTGAACTAGAACTGAACTAGAACTGAACTAGAACTGAACTAGAACTGAACTAGAACTGAACTAGAACTGAACTAGAACTGAACTAGAACTGAACTAGAACTGAACTAGAACTGAACTAGAACTGAACTAGAACTGAACTAGAACTGAACTAGAACTGAACTAGAACTGAACTAGAACTGAACTAGAACTGAACTAGAACTGAACTAGAACTGAACTAGAACTGAACTAGAACTGAACTAGAACTGAACTAGAACTGAACTAGAACTGAACTAGAACTGAACTAGAACTGAACTAGAACTGAACTAGAACTGAACTAGAACTGAACTAGAACTGAACTAGAACTGAACTAGAATTGAACTAGAAATGAACTAGAACTGAACTAGAACTGAACTAGAACTGAACTAGAACTGAACTAGAACTAGAACTGAACTAGAACTGAACTAGAACTGAACTAGAACTAGAACTAGAACTAGAACTAGAACTGAACTAGAACTGAACTAGAACTGAACTAGAACTGAAGTAGAACTGAACTAGAACTGAACTAGAACTGAACTAGAACTGAACTAGAACTGAACTAGAACTGAACTAGAACTGAACTAGAACTGAACTAGAACTGAACTAGAACTGAACTAGAACTGAACTAGAACTGAACTAGAACTGAACTAGAACTGAACTAGAACTGAACTAGAACTGAACTAGAACTGAACTAGAACTGAACTAGAACTGAACTAGAACTGAACTAGAACTGAACTAGAACTGAACTAGAACTGAACTAGAACTGAACTAGAACTGAACTAGAACTGAACTAGAACTGAACTAGAACTGAACTAGAACTGAACTAGAACTGAACTAGAACTGAACTAGAACTGAACTAGAACTGAACTAGAACTGAACTAGAACTGAACTAGAACTGAACTAGAACTGAACTAGAACTGAACTAAAACTGAACTAGAACTGAACTAGAATTGAACTAGAAGTGATCGAGATCTAGATAGTCTAGTTCGAACAATTTTTTATACGGAATTAGGAAATTAGGAACAGGATAAATTGACAATATTCCCTTAATCGTTCAAAGATCTAATTTTTGTAGAAAGCTTATTTTTAAAAAAAAATTTACTCACATTTACATAATGCAGCAGCCAAAGTTTAGAGAGAAAAATCCTTGTAATTCCTTTCAAAAAACGTTTAACGTTTTAATATAAATTAAATTCCTTGGTTTTTGAACTAAAACTTTTTTCAAATATTTAATTCTGTAAATTAATTTGCAGCTGATTTTCACTTCATAAATCTAAAAACAAAGTACAAAAATATTAATTAGTTATTTATTGTCTAATAAAAAGAAGAAAAAAATAAAAACCCTATAATGACAAAAATTCCAAAATATTACAATAATCACTCTTACATAAACATTTATATGTATTTTTTTTTTTGTAATTTTCTTTACACTTTGCTTTTGTGGCATAAAATTGTATTGAATTGCATTGAGTTTCGATACTTTTATAAATGTTGTTTTTATTTTTTGTTAAATATTATTATTGGTTTTGTTTTATTTAAACAACTATAACAAGAGTGTTTCTTGTTGCTGCAGTTATTGTTGTCTTTACATTTATTTTATTTTAACTGGTTTTGTATTTTTTAATTTTTTGCTGCTTTGGCATGCTTTTGTAAACAAAAATACACAAACTTAAAAAGATGAAAAAATCTTTACGACAAAAGCTCTTTTGTTGCAAACGTAAAAATAAAATGCAGACAACAACAACAGCAATAGCAACTACTCTTACCACATTCCAAAGGCCTTTTTCTTGTTGTACAAACTGACGACCAACCAACCAACCAGGCCAATAACAACAATCAACACAACTACTAAAATACCCTCTATATTTGCAACAAGAACAACATTTGCAAACAAAAAAAAGTTGCCAACTAAAAGTAACCAAAAACTGCACGTTTGTTGCAAGAGTGTGCAAGTTTTTGTATGTTGCTGTTTATGCCACGGTTTTAAGAAAACTATAAAAAGATACTTAATGCAACAGCATGAGTATGTAGCACGTTTTTTCTTAGCAGTTCTCTGTTTCTTATTTCTTTCAAAATACACATATTCAATATATAAATTTGTGGCACGCAATTTTTTTGGGATTCTTTTTTTTTTCTTTGGGTTTTTGAGAAAATATTGGAACATTTTTCAGTTGATATAAGGAGAGATTGGTTGTTCAGAATGTTACAAAATTTAGTACTTTATTTATGCTGATTTGGTATGAATAGCAAAATGTTTTAGCTATAGTCTAGTCTACAGTATAGTCTATAGTCTAGTATATAGTGGAATCTATAGTTCAGTTTATAGTCTAGCCTATAGTCGATTCTATAGTGCAGCCTACAGTCTAGTCTATAGTCTATAGTTTAGTCTGTGGTCGTCTATAGTGTAGTCTAGTCTATAGTCTGGGATATATTTCAGTGAATAATCTAGTGTATAGTCTAGTCTTTAATATAATCTACAGTCTAGTCTAGTCGATAGTCTAGTCCACAGTCTAGTCTACGGTTTACTCTATAGTCTAGTTACAGTTTAGTCTATAGTCTAGTCTACAACTCTAGTCTGCCAGTAGTCTATAGTAGTCTATAGCCAGTCTGTAGTGTAGTATAAGTCTAGTCTAGTCTAGTCTATAGTCGTAGTCTAGTAGTCTAGTCTATAGTTAGTAGTCTAGATAGTCTAGTCTATAGTCTAGTCTCTATAGTCTAGTCTATAGTCTAGTCTATAGTCTAGTCTATAGTCTAGTCTATAGTCTAGTCTATAGTTAAGTCTATAGTCTAGTCTATAGTCTAGTCTATAGTCTAGTCTATAGTCTAGTCTATAGTCTAGTCTATAGCTAGTCTATAGTCTAGTCTATAGTCTAGTCTATAGTCTAGTCTATAGTCTAGTCTATAGTCTAGTCTATAGTCTAGTCTATAGTCTAGTCTATAGTCTAGTCTATAGTCTAGTCTATAGTCTAGTCTATAGTCTAGTCTATAGTCTAGTCTATAGTCTAGCCTATAGTCTAGTCTAAGTCTAGTCTATAGTCTAGTCTATAGTCTAGTCTATAGTCTAGTCTATAGTCTAGTCTATAGTCTAGTCTATAGTCTAGTCTATAGTCTAGTCTATAGTCTAGTCTATAGTCTAGTCTATAGTCTAGTCTATAGTCTAGTCTATAGTCTAGTCTATAGTCTAGTCTATAGTCTAGTCTATAGTCTAGTCTATAGTCTAGTCTATAGTCTAGTCTATAGTCTAGTCTATAGTCTAGTCTATAGTCTAGTCTATAGTCTAGTCTATAGTCTAGTCTATAGTCTAGTCTATAGTCTAGTCTATAGTCTAGTCTATAGTCTAGTCTATAGTCTAGTCTATAGTCTAGTTATAGTCTAGTCTATAGTCTAGTCTATAGTCTAGTCTATAGTCTAGTCTATAGTCTAGTCTATAGTCTAGTCTATAGTCTAGTCTATAGTCTAGTCTATAGTCTAGTCTATAGTCTAGTCTATAGTCTAGTCTATAGTCTAGTCTATAGTCTAGTCTATAGTCTAGTCTATAGTCTAGTCTATAGTCTAGTCTATAGTCTAGTCTATAGTCTAGTCTATAGTATAGTCTATAGTCTAGTCTATAGTCTATTCTATAGTCTATTCTATAGTCTAGTCTATAGTCTAGTCTATAGTCTAGTTCTATAGTCTAGTCTATAGTCTAGTCTATAGTCTAGTCTATAGTCTAGTCTATAGTCTAGTCTTAGTCTAGTCTATAGTCTAGTCTATAGTCTAGTCTATAGTCTAGTATATAGTCTAGTCTATAGTTAGTCTATAGTCTAGTCTAAGTCCGTCTATAGTCTAGTCTATAGTCTAATCTATAGTCTAGTCTCTAGTATAGTCTATAGTCTAGTCTATAGTTAGTCTATAGTCTAGTCTATAGTCTGGCCTATAGTCTGGCCTATGTCTAGTCTATAGTCTGTCCTATAGTCTAGTCTATTAGTCTAGTCTATAGTCTAGTCTATAGTCTAGTCTATAGTCTAGTCTATAGTATAGTCTATAGTCTAGTCTATAGTCTAGTCTATAGTCTAGTTATGTCTAGTCTATAGTCTAGTCTATAGTCTAGTCTATAGTCTAGTCTAGTCTAGCTAGTCTATAGTCTATAGTCTATAGTCTAGTCTATATACTAGTCCATAGTATAGTCTATAGTCTAGTCTATAGTCTAGTCTATAGTCTAGTCTATATACTAGTCCCATAGTATAGTATATGTCTAGTCTATAGTCTAGTCTATAGTCTAGTCTATAGTCTAGTCTATAGTCTAGTCTATAGTCTAGTCTATAGTCTAGTCTATAGTCTAGTCTATAGTCTAGTCTATAGTCTAGTCTATAGTCTAGTCTATAGTCTAGTCTATAGTCTAGTCTATAGTCTAGTCTATAGTCTAGTCTATTAGTCTAGTCTATAGTCTAGTCTATAGTCTAGTCTATAGTCTAGTCTATAGTCTAGTCTATAGTCTAGTCTATAGTCTAGTCTATAGTCTAGTCTATAATCTAGTCTATAGTCTAGTCTATAGTATAGGTCTATAGTCTAGTCTATTGTCTAGTCTATTGTCTAGTCTATTGTCTAGTCTATAGTCTAGTCTATAGTCTAGTCTATAGTCTATAGTCTAGTCTATAGTCTAGTCTATTGTCTAGTCTACAGTCTAGTCTATAGTCTAGTCTATAGTCTAGTCTATAGTCTAGTCTATAGTCTAGTCTATAGTCTAGTCTTAATTCAGGTCTCAATTCTTGTTTATAGTTTAGTCTCCAGTCGAGTTATAGTATAGTCGATAGTCTATTTTATAGACGAGTTTATAGTCTAGTCTTAATTCGGCTCTCTAGTCTTGTCGATGATCTCACCTATAGTCGAGTTTATGGTCTGGTCTATATGTGTCTATATATGTTCAGTATATAGCATAGTCCTAAGTTTAGTATAACTATAATATAAACTTTAATCTTATAGCGCTACACAGCTTCTTTAGAGTAGCATATTGCTCCATGATTATTGACTTTCATTTATTATTTCTTTTAATATGCAAAATTTTTCTTTCACAAAGAAAAAAACTATTTTAAAATTATATTCCTTAATAGTGACATTCACGCCACCTTGAAACCATATGTAAAATATTACAATTATTTAACTGACATTTCGTAAAATATGATTGTCATTGTATTTTGCGACGAAAAGGAATTTAACAACAAAAACTTTTTCTGCAATATTTTAATCCTGCTGTGCTATTTAAGGCTTATAAGGAAAATGATAACAATCATATCATTCATTTACTTTTTAAATACATATACATACGTTTTGAACTATATTTAGTTTAAAGCTTAAATTGAGGTAGTAAATGACATAAGTTTTTAATTTATAACATCTATTAAATATAAACATAATCATAATTGTTGTTTAGCTACATGCAATAAACGTTTCCAAATGAAAGCAAAAAAAAAAAAAACACAAACAGTCGCAAACCTTTATGTTTGTCATTACGTCGCGAGATGAAAAAATTCATTTAAACATTTCTTAGTTGTTGCCAACAACATTCCAACATGTGCTAAGATTTTCTGATTTTTTCTTTTTCTGTTGCATTTTGTAATTTTTTTTCTGTTGTTTCTTATTTTGCCAACATTCTCTAATATTTCTGTATATAGAATTTTATATTGAGGTAACTTGCAAACAGCAGCAGTTATAACAAATTGCGTGCATCTACGTTGTCTACTACATAGTAGTAGATGAACAGCAAAAGGAAAAAAAAAAAAATTTACAAATACAATTTAAATTGTTGTTGAATAAGAAGAAGCAGCAGAAGTGTTGCTTTTGCAACATTTTATATAAAATGTTTAAGGTTAAAGCAACACAGTAAAGCAAATGTTGGATGAAAAGCTTAAGAATATTTTTTTTTGTAAAAATTCCAAGTGTTGTAAATTAAAAAATGTAATTTAATTATAGACTTGGGTGTAGTCTATAGTCTAATCTATAGTATAGTCTAGTGTATAAACTAGTCTATAGTCTAGTCTACAGTCTAGTCTAGTCTATAGTCTAGTCTACAGTCTAGTCTATAGTCTAGTCTATAGTCTAGTCTATAGTCTAGTCTATAGTCTAGTCTATAGTCTAGTCTATAGTCTAGTCTATAGTCTAGTCTATAGTCTAGTCTATAGTCTAGTCTATAGTCTAGTCTATAGTCTAGTCTATAGTCTAGTCTATAGTCTAGTCTATAGTCTAGTCTATAGTCTAGTCTATAGTCTAGTCTATAGTCTAGTCTATAGTCTAGTC